CACAATTGGGTAAAGTCCCTGTACTATAGTACAGGGTCACGGGCCAAATTTCGCCAAAAATGAAAAGGAGAGAATTCTCCATTTTATTACATTTCCTGATACATATACATGTACTTATGTTGTGTAGAAAGTTTGAGCTGATTCTGATCAAAATTAGATTTTTTACAAATTTTTAAAGTTACTCCAAAATCGAACAAAAGTCCCTGTACTATAGTACAGGGTCAAGGGCCAAATTTCGCCAAAAATGAAAAGGAGAGAATTCTCCATTTTATTACATTTCCTGATACATATACATGTACTTATGTTGTGTAGAAAGTTTGACCTGATTCTGATCAAAATTGGATTTTTTTACAAATTTTTAAAGTTGCTCCAAAACCAGTCCAAAGTCCCTGTACTACAGTACATGGTGTAATTCATCAATTCATATTAATGATCATTGGACACTCCTTGAATCTATTGTAGTGTGTATTATATTACCTTTCTAATTAAAGAGCAGCTCCTTTTCTCTTCTCCACTAGTTTATCAGTGAGTCCGCGAGTTATTGCCACGGTATTATACTACTAGTACTAACAACAGATCCTACACTACCTACTGACTGCTGCTGCTCCTCTTTATCCATTAATAACAGTATCCTTCACCTCTTGTGTGTCTGAGTGGGTCTTTATGCTGAGTTTGGGTGTACACCTATTGTGATTCTTATAATAAGAGTTAATACGGTATATTAGTAGGGTTCTCACTGTAAAAAATGAAGAGTCTTAAAGTCCCGGTTTTATTTGATAAACTTTTAGTCCACAACAGTATAGTTCCAAAAACAGAATAAGCTTGGATGTATCTTGCACTATAAATATAATAAATAATAATACAAATTAATTAATTAAACGAATAATTGGGATATACGGTATTCCTCGAGGGCCTTGTTTTGACAGTAACGGCAAGAGACTACAACGCAAGATTTTTCAATTCTGTCTTTGCAGAGAAGTAAACTACCATCTTAGCTAAATAATAGGTGGGTAAAAAGGCCAAACTAAGCATTTTTGTTGCATGTTTTGGATGAATATGGGACTGTAATTTGAAGCTCACTTGCAATTTTCAAAGTTTATTAACTGCAAAATGAAGCACTTAGTAATAGCCTTCTCCTACAAAAGTTTCAAATTCAAAATGATTTGTTTGTCATCTGGGTGAAATTTTTTACTTAATGTCGGCCATTTTAAAATTTTGAAAAGAATGTTTTAAAACTTTTTAATATTATAATTCATGTATCTCTCTTCATGTAGGTCATCACTCATGCCTACTACATTAACTACATTAAGGGAGCGGAATTTATTAAAAGAGACTCGTGGTATGGACTATTGTAAGTCTTTAGATTTACTGGGTGTAACTTGCGGCAATCAGACTTTATTGATGAAGAATATGAGAAAGCGCTCTCCAGTTGAAAGCATTGAGAGCCAACATGGATGCCCTACTCTAACTGCTTTTAATACTATGGATGTCCCGTCTCTCATGCTAGTGTCTGATAATGATGGGCCGATTGATGTATTTGATATGCAAAGAAAGCTTCTTGTGCGGAGCTACCTTGAACATATATCAAGAGTTACTGGTCTTTCTTGGTATAATGGTCACTCATTTGTATCTAGCTCTGCTGATGGCACAGTGCGTTTTTACAAAACAACTGATCCACATAGCCACCTTACACTTAACATGGTAGTTAGTACCTGTGGTGTTCATATCAGTCCTTTCTCACCTCATTTAGTTACTTTTGGAACAACTCAGGGCAAGTTTTATGTGTACGACATTAGAAATACTGCTACTCCGTATATTGAAGCAAAAGGCCATGTAAAGACTGTCAGTAATGCAATATTTGTTTCAAAGTTTGAATTACTTACAATTGGAACAGACAATAAAGCTAAACTTTGGGATTTACATCGAACAGTATGTATACGCTCATACAACGACAATTCTCATCAGACATGTTTTGTTGGTATTCATACTTTGAATGACTTAATTGCCCTTGGTGGTGAGGACAGTCGTGTTCGTGTCTACAATAAATATGATTCAAAAAGCATTGTTTCAAAAAGCCTTCATTCATCATCATCCTTTGTTTGTGGGTGTACCTTAGTATCAATTGGAGATTCTGCACAGTTAATAGCAGTAGGAAATCAAGGGCATTTGTTGTTTATGAAATTAAACATTTGAGTATAAATAATTATTATATTGTTTACATACTGGTTTGCTGTACGTATACAATTCTTATTTTGTCCTTTTTGTTTAATATTGTATACTATACTGATTTCCTTACTGTATCCTTATACCTTTCTTTTACTAAATTTTTTGTTCATCTTAATTAAATATTTTAAAAAAATTTTAGATAAAATTTTATACATGATGTAATACAATTAAGGAGGAGAGTGTGCATGCATGGGAAGAACAAAACACAAAGCCTGGAAATCACAATGATCATTATACATATATTATACATGCATTATACATAATTGGTACATTTATTTTGTTAATTCAGTACTTTTAAATCTCCTATCGAGAGATCTTCCATTAGATTAAAGTTGAAAATCTCACTACTGTCCTCATATAGAATACTATGTGTATCCCCATCAAAATTTAATACGACACCATTAAACCATTCTTCTTGATCTCCATCAACTATGAATTTGTGTCGAATGTGTTTCCCGACTAAAGAATGAGGGTTATATTCACCAGGTAGCTGTACTATTAACTCTCTAACTTCATCAATTAAAACAACTAAAGGACGTTTCTTTCCATTCCTTGTAAAAGTGATACTGGTTTTTTGTTGTAGCAGCTTTTTACGAATTTGTACTTGTTCCTTTAAGAAATCCAATATCTTCTTTTCTTCCTTTTTTAGAGGGAGTCCTTCCTCTTTAATAATATTTAAGCTACTCTCAAATTCTGGTATAGAAGTAACCAAATGAAGTTTTGATAATTTTGCCTTTTCAGTAGCTGCTTTTTGTTTCAACATATCTGCTTTTTTCTTTTGTGCTACCAAGTTATTCTGTCTTTTTTTAGTAACTTGATTTTGATGTTCCTTGTAATCAGCTCTTACTTCACCACGATTCTTTACAGCTAAATCAATAATTGCCTTTTGTCGCTCTTTAGGTAACTCATGAAACCATTTCATGGTATGATTTTTCTTTATTTCAGTTAAATTACTTCTAGTTAGTTGTAGCATATTGGGTAAAGCAGTGCACAGATAGTCATTGAGACCTAATATAGACTCACACAAGTCATTACTTGGTTCCAATGCTTTTAAAACAGCTGTAGTTTCAGCATCTGGTTCCCAATATATACCATTTGGTAGAAAGTCACAAGCATAGCTACACAGCTTTGCCTGCATATATGATGCTCCACTGGTTATTATGGAAAATAAAGCAGTTTTATCTTCTGGAAGGCTTTGAAATAGATGATCTTGAATAAGTTTCATATGGCTATGTATTCTGTGATTAAATTTGCTATCATCCATGTATAAACGAGACTCTGACGAGAAAACTTCACAACAGCGGTTAATGATGATTTCTGGACTTTCTTCAACTTTATTTAGAAATATCTTGAGTTCCAAATAATGTTTCATCATATCATATGCAGACTTCTTTAATTCTTTAGATTTTGCTAAAAGTACTAAATCAGAGTAAACATGGTGAAACATTAACGCATCAGCCTTCAATAGGGTTAAGAGATTGGTGTCCGAGAGCTTAGAAAATACATCTTTTTCTAACCTGTTTCCATCATCACACTTATTAGTAAAGGTAAGAAATTCTGAAGCAGCCGCAACTAAGAAAATAATCTTTGTTGCATTATGTGAAGTGACGAAATACCGACTGCCAACTTGGCGAGAAAGAGTAATATCAAGACATGCTTGATAATACAATTCATTGTTATCACATTCACTGATTTTATATTTTAAAAAATCTTGAAACTGAATACAACCAACTGCATACTCAGGAGTGCCATGTGAGCCAAATAACTTACAGAACTCGTATACAAAAGTATCAATACTTTCTTGGTATTCTGATACTTGCCCTGCCACAAAGGCTTTTCGTAAATTAACTCCTAAATGCATGGCACAAAAAATTCTTACTATCTCTAAGCTCTCCTGATTTGCATTTGGCAACTCTTTACAGTCTTCTTCTTTACGCTGTTCTAGTAAATCATTTATACGTTTTTGAGTAGATGCAGAGTCAGATGTTGAGGAACGAATCATAGACCAGTTAAGTGTGCTAGAGTTTGATATCCCCAATTGATTGGCAATTCGTCTTAGTTTCTTGAATTGCTGATCTATATCGTCAATAACTGTGTCTGCTTTTCCATCTGGAATTTCGCTTACTGATATCACCACACCATTGAATGCTGTGGCATTCAACTTGTGCTGATTCTTGGTAGTACCATCACTATTTAGATATAGCGCCTTAGCATCACAAAGAACTGTTGCTTGATGTGCCAAGCTGACAGTTTTAAGCTCTTCACGGCGCATATAACCTGCACAACTTTCAGCAGGTAGCTTTAATGTGGTGATATCCACACCTGGAAAAAAAGCTGATGGGACGTCTTTAATGATATTTGCGATTTTATTAGGTGGGACTTGTGATGTTAGAAGTGAATAATAAAGTGTTCGTATAATCGGAGAATATCTTTTTCCATCCTTAGTTTGAAAGGTAGCTGGAGACTCAGAAGAAGTATGAGAAGGTAGAGTTGTGTTGATGTCATCATGTGTTTCACGTACATACTTCTCAAATTCAGCTTCTAGTTTCATAAAATCTAAAGAACTTAGTTCACATTGCTTTTGCAAATGCTTCAGTGATTTGTCTTTACAATTTTTAACAGTTTTAATCTCTTGCTGTAGCTGACAAATAACTTTTTCGTAATCAGAAACTTTTTGCTTTAGTTGCTTCACTTCACTTCTCAATGAATGATTTCTCCTCATTTTTCTCATTTCCCTCCTTTTGATATTCCGAGGTGCATAGTGAGGATCTATAAATGATGGAACATTTAAATGATGATCATGATCAAAAATTCCTTCTTCATTGGATGAAACTGCTTTATTTTCTAAATCAGTTTTTAATTGTGTCCCTAAAACAAATCCAGGAACACTACAACTGAACTCATCAGGAACAGAACCGGTCATTTGTTCTAAAAATATTAATTATTAATTATTTATTTGATTTTAATTTTTGCTTATACTTGTGTTCCGAATTTTTGGGACCCATGTTCTTTTTTTATATGCTTTTAAGGCTTCACCTTTCACTGCAATTTTTCCATTTAGAATAGAAGGAACAGTTGGAGAAACAATCCTTTTAATAGTATTGTAAAACCGATCAGGTCTCCCAATGTAAACTTCTGGGTACGAATCTTTTACTTCTTTGAGAATAACATCACTTTGCCCAGCAGATTTTTCAAAAATATCAATCAAAAATTTATATGGTATTCCCCTTTTGTCTTTCGACATTTTTTAATAAGCCTATTAAAAAAAAAATTTTCACCCAGATGACAAACAAATCATTTTGAATTTGAAACTTTTGTAGGAGAAGGCTATTACTAAGTGCTTCATTTTGCAGTTAATGAACTTTGAAAATTGCAAGTGAGCTTCAAATTACAGTCCCATATTCATCCAAAACATGCAACAAAAATGCTTAGTTTGGCCTTTTTACCCACCTATTATTTAGCTAAGATGGTAGTTTACTTCTCTGCAAAGACAGAATTGAAAAATCTTGCGTTATAGTCTCTTGCCGTTACTGTCAAAACAAGGCCCTCGAGGAATACCGTATATCCCAATTATTCGTTTAATTAATTAATTTGTATTATTATTTATTATATTTATAGTGCAAGATACATCCAAGCTTATTCTGTTTTTGGAACTATACTGTTGTGGACTAAAAGTTTATCAAATAAAACCGGGACTTTAAGACTCTTCATTTTTTCAGTGAGAACCCTAATATTAGCCACGCCTTGTTTTACTGCAGCAACCAGCCCCACCCTTTTACTGCTGTGCATCTTTTTGCTGTTTTGCGTCTTATTTGTTGTGCGGCTCTTTTTCTGGTACATTTCCAGTTGGATCTACAGGAAAGCTGTTCCTTGAT